CATTTTAGCCTTTTAATAGTATTTCTTTATTCTTTTAAAATAGGAATGCAATTACATTCCGAAATTGTAAAAGGGAATAAGATAGCAATAATTTGATGTGAATAGATAGATCAAGTTTTGTCGAAACTACGTTTATGTTAATTTTCTTTTAATTACAATGTAATCTATAAGACGTCTTTTTCGGTTTGCTTTTAAAATCTTACACTCGAATTAATTCATTTTATAACATTACAATCTTCTTATTAAAATTATTTGATAAGATGACTTAGAAAGGCAACAATTATTTGTTTAGCAAAACCAGAAGATGGTATTTTAATGGGGACTTAATGAACTAAAAGATATTTTAGATTTACTTGCAAGTGATTTGTTTGAGAGAAAAAAAATACAACTTTATTTTTATTAGCTTCAGGTGATAATTTTGAACAAAAGATCTAAAAAGAATAAAATCTCAATCAATAACTTAAAGTGTATAAAATATATTTTGAACAATCTGGGGCGTATTTCACGAAAATCTGAGTTATTTTTCGTATAATATTGTCGATGTCAGATGTACATCGAAATAAGTAGTTACTTGCACGAATACAATAGGCATCTCTGTGTCGCTAATGGTTATCTGACCTAGAAAAGTTTTGAAATGAGAGATTATGGAACCATTAGCTAACAATCAAATTCTTTTGGATGACAACACGCGAGATTGGAAAGCTCTATTAACATTATTTCACTCACCGAATAACTATCGAAGAAACTCCTGCTTGTGGGCAGAAAATTTTTTCTGCACCAATCCATGATGTTGTTTTCATTCGTAATATTTTGCTTTCTAGCATGATTTTTATGTCTATTCAAGATATAGTATTTCTGTGAATAGTATCTTGTTTCTGCCTATACTATGCCGATACTCTGCTTCATGCCTGATGTTTTGCTGCTACCCATAATGTTTCACTTCAGCGTATAATAAATTCTTGTCTCGTCAAGTCATATTATTTCCGTTAATATTTTGCACGTTGAGCATAATATTTCATTTCTGCTCTTGATATTTTGCTTATGGCAATTTACTTTTGCACAATATATTTTCGAGCAACCTGCTTCGCGTACTTTGCTTCCGCGTATGATGTTTTCTACAACAAACGACTATGTTTTGACTTCTGTTCTCAATATTTCGCTTCTTCACTTCTTGATTTGTTTGTGTCCATAATATTTTGCTTCAGCGCATAATATTTTAGGTCTGCCCATGTATTTACTTCTGCTTCGAATAATATTTTCTTTCTGCCTATGATATTTTCCTTCATATCTGATGTTGTGACTGTTATAATAGCTGTTATAGAATCTATCCGTCCATATTTTGCGCGTTGAACAAGATATTTTGTTTCTGTGCTTAGTATTTTCCTTCTTAACCTTAACTACTAATTTCTTCACAGCATATTTTCAAACTGCCTACCATATTTTGCTTTCATGTGATGTTTTCTTCTACAAATGACCATGATTTTATTTCCGTTCTTAATATTTCTCTTCTTCATCTATTGATTTTTCGTGCACACGATATTTTGCTTCTGGGCACTTATTCTTCTGCACCTGTCCATGATGCTATTTCTAGTCATAATATAGTATCACAAAATTTTGTGTTTGTGCAAGATATATTTACTTCTGCAAATAATATTTTCTTTCCGCCTATGATATTTTCCTTCATATTTGATGTTGTGACGTTGCCTATAATAGTTGACTTCAACACACGATAAACTCTTCTCCACTAGCCTATAGAATCTTTCCGTTCATATTTTACACGTTGAGCAAGACATTTTGTTTCTGCACCTGGTATTTTGCTTCTAAACCTCATAATTCATTTTTGCATAACATGTTTTTATACTGCCTACCATATTTTGCTTTCACGAATGATATTTTCTTCTGCAAATGACCATGATTTTATTTCCGTTCTCAATATTTCCCCTTTTTTATCTATTGAATTTTCGTGAACATGATATTTTGCTACTAGACATTTTTTCTTCTGCACCTGTCCATAATGCTGTTTCTAGTCATAATATTTTGCCATGAAATTTTATGTCTGCGCAAGATATATTTACTTCTGCAAATAACATTTTCTTTCTGTCTATGCTATTTTTATATCTGATATTGTGACGCTGCCCATAATATTTGAATTGAACGCACGATAAACTCTTCTCCATTAGTTCATAACATTTTTCCGTTCATATTTTACACGTTGAGACAGATATTTTGCTTCTAAAGCTCATAATTCATTTTTGGACAAAATATTTTTATACTGCCTACCATATTTTGCTTTCGCGAACTTTATATATATATATATATATATAATGATTTTATTTCCATTGTCAATATTTCCCTTGTTCATCGATTTTTGATGTAAATGATATTTTTCTACTAGACATTTTTTCTTCTGCACCTATCCATGATATTACTTCTACTCATAATATAGTATCATCTATTAGCCTATAGAATGTTTTCCTATTTTGCTGCTAAACCTGATAAGTCATCTTTGAACAACATATTTCGAAACTGCCTACTATATTTTACTTCTAGACATTTTTTCTTTTACACCTGTCCATGAAATTGTTTCCACTCATAATATTTTGTTTTCGATCATGAAACATTTTGTTTGCCCAAGACATATTATTTCTGCTAAAAATATCTTCTTTGTACTTGTAATATTTTGCTTTATGTATTTAGCCAATATTATATTTCAGCGCATAATGAAATTTCTCCATTAGCTAATAATATTGATTCCGCCCATATTTTGTATACTCAGCATGATACTTTGTTTCTGCACCTGATATTTTACTTCTAAATCTGATAATTCATTTTTGCATAACATATTTTCCAGCATCCTGTCATATTTTCCGTTCACATATTCCATTTTCTGCTGCAAATAACCATGTCAGAAAAACCAGAATTTTCAAAATACGTATCAAAAATATTAAATGACAGCCATATCGAAGGAAATTATATTTGAAGTTTGTATTTTGTAGTGTGGCCTATAAACTTAAACAAGACACCAATCAAGCAGAATTAAATTTTATTAAACATAAATTAGAAATTTGTTTTAAAGCTGCATTCACCACCTAGACGTCATACCTGCGTAATCAAAATTTAAAACTCTACTATTATAATGATATTAAACACACATATAATGTCGTTGCTTTGAAAGAGATATGGCTCCACGCAGTATATGTTGGCCAAGCAGAGTACAGATTATCATATGAGGTAGCGTACTTCTTGAAAAGTCCGCAGTTTTCTTGGTTAACTACTTAGCAAGACCGAACGAATATTCTTCATATTAAGTTATTGCTAATATGTGTATATACGCTGATTGATGTTTATGTTAGAGACTCCAGCATTGGATCATCTTTTTACTTTCATTTGAACATGTCATGCCATCTCCAGTATTTAAAACAATTTGTGTTTATAGTACATTATCATAGTATATATGTAGTTAATAGTACATTTGTAAATGTACTATTTGGAATATGCTTGATATAAACTGATAGATATTGCCGTGGAGAGATGGTGATTGTAGTAAGTTATTTATGAAAATATATATTTTTATTGAAGAGCAACAAAAAAAGCTTGCGTGCCGAAGAAAAAGGAAGGAATTCTAACTAGTTATTTAAACTTTGCAAACACTTTCTGTTAGATTCAACAAATTAATTTTAATGAAACCGATGGAGAGCAGTCAGATATATGAAAATCCTGTATAACTGTAATTTCTATACCTGACTCGGAACATTTCCTATCCAAACACTTGACACCAATTGCACTGCTTTCGGTCAAATGTATCTTTGAAACTATCATTATCCAACGAATCCTAAAATACACAATCAGTTCAATTTCTATTTACCAATTTGCATCGGCTTATTACGATTGTAAACAACGTGCAACTGAACCAGAATTTGAATAGAAAATCGATCAGATTGTTACTGGATATAGGGCGGCCGTCACAGTAAGAGATTACTATTGAAACTGAATAAAATCGGTATCTAGGATAAAATAATGTTAACACTTCAAGTAAGGATCGCCAATAATTTTTATTATCCTTTTCATCTTAAGAGAATGTAATTCCGCGTTCACCAATTTCTCCTAATATAATATAATATTTACTGCCGCCCTGTAATTAAGTTATCTTCATCAAGTTTTTTAAATATCAGAGTAAGGTAAACTTCATCAATTACCTCAGAGTTTTTCGAACTCCGTAATAACATCCTGCCACTCTTTCGTTATTTTATCTTAAGTAGTGATCTTGACAACAGATGTAACAGATACTGTGAATATTTTCTGCGCAATAATAGCGGGGTTAAGTGAGACCGAGTAGATATATTAAAACTTTAATGATGATAGGGCATGCAATCACGAAAACGAAATTTTATCCAAGCAATCAATATTTTCAGTAACTTTTCTCTTTTCACAACATTACAGTTTTAAAATGAAATTGGAGACGTCAAGATCGACCAAAAAGGTGGTAAAAGCCATACTGAAATAATTTGAAATGTCAACTTTTTGCACGGCCGAAATCTTTTAATAAATAAAAAAATATTAATCGATGCAACTTTACCCCAATTTAACTTTCCTTTTATCTCTTGTAACTTCTAATCTTCGTGAAACATCCCCAGATGTGAAAAACAATCAAAATTAATGTGAAATCAAAGATAAGCTAATTTGAAAAAGTTTAGCTAAACTTAGTTAAGTGGAAGGAAGAATAGCTTTTTTCTTATTCTCTCCATAAAATTTATTATTGTCAATTTCAAACTAAACGGGTTCTCTTTATCTTTCAAGAAAAAAAGTTTCAATAATCAAAAAAATCTTTCATTTTTTTTTAAAGTTATTATAATATACTATTTAGATTAAAATATGGGTTTTTTAAAATCTTTGGCTAAAGAGAAATTATTTATTTTGTATCTTTCATATTTTAAAATATTTTTTCGATTTCTCGAGAAATCTCCTCATTTTCTTATTTCCCTTTTTTTGTGTTGTTTTTGATATATCTTAGAAGTATATAATTTTGAAATTCCTTGACTTACCATTAATGTTATGTTTTAAATATTTTTAGAACCTAATCTAATCAATATCGGTATGTAGTGAAATTGACAAGTGCGATCCAGTAACTTTATCTCCATTTTCTTACAAATACATTAATTGAGCTTCAAATTTTATTCTTTTTTAAACATCTCGATGGTTATTTTATTTCATAAAACACAGGTTATCATAAATTATAGGTAAAAATATAATTATTTATCAATACAATTTATGATGACCTAAATGTATTCTCCAAAAATTTCATTTAATAAAATTATTTCAGCTCAATTATGGATTATTTATTTAATAATCATTATTTTTTTGAAAGCATTAAAATTTGACACACTACATCAATAAGGCTGTTGTACTGGAAAATTTTTGTCAACCCTATCGAGTGAACATCAACACCTCGCATTACATTAATTTAATTTCTCATTCTTCTTAACAACTGTATAATCCTATATACAATAACGTTGATGCAACAATATCGTCAGATCCGATCGGGCTGGATGCCGACGTCCCTATGCTATTCACCACCCAACGTTAACGCTTGGACAATCCTCGGGTCCGCTTTACTACCCTCTCGAAATTCTTCGAGGGTAAGTCGATCATCGTGGTTCTTATCCATTTGATCGAAAATCTTATCAACCCTTTTTTGCGGTGTATTTTCATCTTCAGATGGTTGTTGCCCCTGAAAGTTAAATTTAAACAAAAATGGGTTTGGATTTTCCAAGAATTAACAAAAAATTTTAAACTTACCACCATTTGGTAAATTGCATCTACGATGTTGTACATTTCATCCCTTGTTATGTAACCGTCGTTATCAACGTCATAAAGTCTAAATGCCCCTGAAAACGAAAAGGAAATGTAATTGCGAATGAAGTCGTAATTGAATTTATTATCTGCGTTTGTATTAACAAGGTAATTTAAATGAGAATTTGATTTAATCTCGGTCTAGGTAGAATGGAAAGATAGTAATATAGATAGATGTTATTAAAAAGATTATATACATATATGTTATTATTCGTTGTTTACTTAGACTTGTGTTGCTACGAGTAAGTGCAAAATTAAATTAGATCCGATGCTGAAAGTGAAAAAGATAACGCGAGTAGAACTAATCATGATAGGACGAGGGAGATGACGACGATCAAGATGATGGTGCATCAAGTAAAAGGCACGCAACTGTGCAAAAAGTGTTCCTTATTTTGACAAAGACAAGGCAAAATGAAGCAAGATGTTTTATCCAAGAAATGTAAGGATGGGATAACAAAATATTTTTACAGATACAGACGTCAAAAGTATCGTTTAGTATTTGACAAACAAATTGAAGATTATATTGTTAATAATAATTAGCTTAGAAATAGCCAATAGCCGATATGTGAGCAATAGACCAATTAACTTGTTGTAAATAGATTAGTACCTTCAAATTCCTGTACGGACATAAATGAGCCCATTATATTTATTACAAAACCAGAGTGGTTGATACTCTAAGAAAGAATAAAGAATGTGCGGAATGTTTTGCTGTTGTTTTGAGTTCCAAGAGAACATGATTATTTTCGAATGTACCGAAAAATCGTCGATGAGGACATTGGAGATAAAAGAAAGCCAGAAGTGATTACTTTTTATAATGCCACTATGTCGGGAGTTGATGTGGTGGTCGAACTATCAGCCACTTTTTTCCTTTTCTTATCGAAAGCTTTGTCATTCTTGGTTCTGCTTCTCCTGTGATACTGAGGTCCAGCTGTCTTTCCATGACTTTGAAGTTCTTCCTATCGGTCTTTGTTGTGTATATTTTGCCATCTCTTGTACATTATGCCAGGCTCGACAGATCCCTTTTTGATACATATTCATTCCATTGTCGTCATTTTTGCCGGACCCATCTGACGATGTCCGGAGTGTTGCATTTTACGATCCATTAGAGTATCAGGATGTTGTGCGTCTCTTTGTCTCACCTATGTGTCTTGCTTCCACCGCATACCTAAGGATCCTTACGCATGCCTTGTATATTCTGACTTTGCTTGCGATTGATAGATGTTTATTCCTCCATATAGTTTTGTTTTGTTATCTGTATTTAGTTGTTTGATCGTTTCTATCATGTTTGGGGGTAAGTTTTTGAAACAAGGAGTTTCAGCACATTCGAGATCCACGAAACAAGGATATGCTGGTTTATTGAATTCAAATGCTTTTTCGGCAATTTGATGGATGATAAAAATGGCGTCGATTATAGACCGGTTCTTACGGAACTCTTGTTGTTCCTCTCGTGCGAGCACTTGTTTGGTGATATTATCAGCTAGATTCTTTGTGAAAATCTTCATGGTGGCATCCAATAGCGATCTACCTTGGTGGTTGTACTTGCCTTAGTTAATACTTGTACTCTGTTTTCAATACTTTAGCACCTGCCTGGTATTGGGGATATTGATAAATAGTTTTCCTAGTTGATCAAGTAGCGCTCTCCCTTCACATTTTAAGAGTTCATGTTGTTTAGGTCCTGCTTTTCCGATTTTAATATTCCTCTGTTATGTGCTATAGTGTCTGGCCGGTTTATAATAATAAAATCCACGTATTTCCAGAAAAATACCTAATAAATATGGTAAAAAGAAAATAATGCAGTCCCTATGTCAAAACCATACGTCTTCCTACCTATCATACTTCACGAAATTCATTGAAACAAATAAATAATGCTTATGCTTCAAAATCGTGGTTAGGTTTGATCAAATTATCAACACTATTTGCAAGACATTCTACACTGTTTGTGTTTCAATGAAAAATGCTGCCAAGACCATGGATACAGATGTAAAAGAAAGTTTTATAACTTTTCGGAATTGTTTCATTTATAAGGTACTACGCTGGAAAAGTAGTTGATGTGATGAATACTAAATTTTGAAAGCATACTTTTGATGATGATTGCAAGACTTTCAAAATTGTTGAGATAAATCCAAGTGTACATAAAAGAGAGTGTATCGATCGTATCCAGAAAGACTGTAAACTCGGCTTCGAAGTGTAGAAAAGATACAATTTTTTTAATTAAAGAATACTGAATCTAAATGTATTAGGTGTAATTAGAAGCATGTGAGATTTATATCCGAAAATAGCTTTCTGAATTTGCGCAACCTTAATTCGACTAATGCTGTACACCTGTGGCGATGTGGTTTGGTGCTATAGAACCTTTCAGCTTACCGCTATTGCGGCCCTTAATAGAATAATCACGAATTTTTATCTCTTAGAATAACCCGATCGTAGTCATGGAAATAATGTTGTTAATAGCACAATCATGTTTATGTTATGTTGTCCTTTTTAATGTTTCGAATTCGCCTTATTTTGTCTTTAGATTTTATACTCGTATTGTAGTATTTCACGTTGTTTACCGACATAAACTGTTTGATTAAGCACATGAGGTGCTCTTGCATTTACCAATACAAATATTTTAATCCCATACTTGGCAAGTTTCTAGGAACAAACTGAATAAAATTACATTTTCCCCACCAACCTTCTAATATTTCATCAACAGTTACGTATCCACGGGGGATAGAAGAACGCAATGAATTTTCCACAAAGTCATTAACTATTCCTCGTATTGTACCAAGTCTATCACAAGGTAAATATTCAAGTAAAGAATGTTATCGATCCAAAGACTGTGTGAACACGTTCTGATCTAAACACTTCGATATTCAAAATTCAAAATTATTAAATCGAAATATCGTTGCTGGTTAACTGAGAAACATCAGCCGTCACGTTTGAGACTGCCAATCAGTAATTATTTGCCATAATTCGAAATGTACGCAGATGACATGTAATTTCCTGTATCAACATCCAAAGATTATCGTGCGTTATAGATCTAATGTACATATAGTCATCATTATTATTATGTATACATAATTTCAATGTTTCATATAGATTAAAGTTTTTAATAACATGTGAACCCGCCCTCTAAACAACCTTGCAAAAAAAGTTAAATAAATAGCAATTTGTTTCCTTGAATTGCTTCCTACATTCGTGGGAAAACCCATAAACCTTATAGGGAGGCGGAACTGTTCTGCTGTTTAGGCGCATCCTTTAGTGGAGTGAAAACAAATTATGAGAATACCAGGATAATACCTCCCTGAATAAAATTTTTACGAATATTCACAAAGAATCTACACTTTAAAAAGTTTAATTCCCAGCAAGAATTCGTTAAATGCTGAATCATTATAAAACTACTAACTACTGTCGTTCTCATTAACGTTCCTCTGCGCAAGTTAATTAGTTAATGAAACTTTAAACCTTAGACATACCTATTCAAAAAAAGGATCTAGCCATGATGTTGCATATAATAGATCAATTTATTATTCCCATATTTGGGAAAGAGTTTGAAATTGTTTTAAAACTTAAAATTACCTATCATATTGAAGGAAGTTTATTGCAGTTTGTCCAGTTTAGATTTAGAATAGGTAAATAGACGTCAGATGCTATTAGGGAACTTGGGAAATTTATGCAACGGGGCTTTGAAGATAAATTATATATTCGTGCATCCATTACTAACGTAGCAAAAGCGTTTGATTGTTTCGTATGTCCTTCACTTCGGAAACACTACCTGTTCCACTTTGATAGTAATAACATGAAGTTAATAAAAACCTACCATTAAAACCATTTGGTAAAGTGAAATAACCCAAATACGCTAAACAAAAAAACTCAAAATAATACACAGAAACGAATTCTAAACTATGGCACGTATTGTATTTAGTTAGAAAATTAAATTCTACATTTCGATGTAGATGGATAACTATTGAAAATAAATTCGTTGATTGGTAATCAATACCATAGCAATAAACAATTCATTACATAAATGAAAACGGGCTCGCAAACGTTCGTTAATATTATAATCAGTATTTTAGAACACGTCATAGGGCATAGATTTAGTATGTTGTTACAATGTGCGTCTGTCTCTGATTGAAAACGTTAAATTGACAAATTCTCATCATGGTGGTAATGAACAAACACACGAACCATTCATTAAATAAACACCTTTGCTAACGAAGGGTTCGTTATTGTATTTTGATAAACATAGGAAATTATCGATGTTCAACTCACGTTACAGAATAGAAAAAAATGCATGGCAACGTATTTTTGTTATCCAACTTAAAATCATCCAACGAGAAGATATTAACATCCTCCTTCGGTAGTTCCATAAAATTATATGTTTAGGTTATGCTTTTTCATCTCACTGTGTCGTGATACGACTATTTTCTCTTTATTTCACACCTGAGTACTCACACCTTGATAGACGTTGAAGAACACATATTAGTTTAATTTAATTTTAATAATAAATCTAATAAAAATTTTTAAAAAAGTGCATAAGTTGCAACGTTAGGTAACACGTTAGTTTTTTAACCCCTTTAAAAAACATCCATTATTCATTATATAGAATTCAAAATAGATCTTCTGCTCATTGCTTTCCCCACAGTCTATATCCGGCAATATTATCATATGGAACTTTTAATGGAACCAGTTTGTACACAATGTCAATTGACGCGTGCTGATAGTGAAACGGTGCAGACAAATTGGAGTTGTTTTTATAACGCGATTCGGAATTTATGTCTGCTATCGCCTTTACGAAATGTTTTTGATGGTTTTGACTTCTTAGATGGAGAATTGGAAGTTAATCCCTTGTTAGATGCTGAATCAGATGAAGCACCCAATGATGAAGAATTAGCTGAATTTGATCCAGAACTCCCAAGGAAAAAGAAGAAATCTCAGATAAAATGATACTAACTACTCCTAGAGAATTGACAGATTTCTTATCTATACTGTTGATGATAGCCATTATGCCTTTCTACGATGATTATTAGACAAATGGTACTCATATGGAACA